AGTACTGCTCGGCTGTCTCCAGAAAGCGCGCCAGGTACTTCTCCAGGTACCTGCAAGGGGTGGGGGTGGGGTACCTGCATGGCCTTGACCCTCCCCCTTATCCCCTCGCCCGCTGTCCTCTCCCCTCCACTCGAGCTTTCCTGCTCCTCCGCATTCAGGTCCTTGTTAACTTGCAACCTCAGTCCCCGGAGCTCCTGATCCTGCAAGCCGTTCAAGGTGATTGCAGATTGTTTGCCACTCGTGCCCCGAGGGGCCCTGTCTTCCTTCCCTTGAACACAGGCTGTCCCTGACCGCGGTACCAAGGAAGTGGTGCTGCGCTGGCCTTCAAAGGACTGACTGTGTTAGCCTTTGTCTCTTTAGAGCTCTGGGCCTTTGTTTAATAAGTTCCACATTTGGATGTTGCATTGATGTGAGGAAGCCCAACCAGCCGTGCAGAGAGGCAGTGTGGAGAGAGGTACCCCACCAGTCTTTAGCAGTGGACTATCCCAGGAAAGACCCAGACATTGGGGGGCAATGGAACACTTCCTGTGGAGCCCTGTTGGAATTCCTGGCCCACAAAATCAGGAGCTAGAATCCTATCCTATATAATGAAAGGCTAATATGCAAATTGACTGGTGGCTTTGATGTGCACTGACCACCAGGGGGTAGACGCTCAATGCAGGAGCTGCCCTCTGGTGGTCAGTGCACTCCCACACGGGGAGTGCCGCTCAGCCAGAAGACGGGTTCACTGCTGGCCAGTGCAGCGGCAGTGGTGGGAGCCTCTCCGGCCTCTGCAGCAGCACTAAGGCTGTCTGACTGCCAGCTTAGCCATCAGTCAGATATCCCCCAAGGGCTCCTGGACTGCAAGAGTGTGCAGGCTGGGCTGAGGGACCCCCCTCCCCACCACCACCAGTGCACGAATTTTGTGCACCTGGCCTCTAGTGATAAATAATTGTTGTCTTAACTCCCTGAGTTTGTGGTAATTCCTTATCAGAACATTTGTAATATTAGAGACTGTATTAAAAGATTTTGGGATCCCAGGGTTCTGAAATAATAGTAATAATGCCTAATATTTTTGAACATTTATCATGTGGCAGACAGTGTTCTAAGTCGAGCATTTAATCCTCACCATTTATTATTATCTCTATTTTTCAGGTGAGGAAACTGAGCCACAAAGAGCTTTCGTGCCTGATGCAAGCATACACACAGGTGGTAAGTTGCAGAGCTATGATCTGAACCCAGTTTGGCATTCGGGCCAGAGCTTTTACCTGCACTTGCTCTATTCCTGGTAGGTCTGTGAGGAACTGGAAGGAAACCTCACCCTCCCAGGGTGTTAGACTCACAAAACCTTGGAATTCAGGACCTCAATGTCCTGGAATTTCTGGACCCCAAGATTCTGCCCCCTACGGCTGGTGCAAGAACACCCTACTCAGTATCCAGAATAGAAGTGGGAGCACAAGGTTCTGCCCACCTGGCTGATGGGTCAGCCCTTAGTCCTGTTTGCCCCCTAACTCCCAGGCACCGTCGTGGCTTTCTCTCCCTTCTGGATTGTGGAGTTTAGAGTTCTGGGGTATTTGATAATAGAATTCCTTCCCCACATTCTCTTCCTGGATGCCAAACTCTCACTGCCTTCCCAAAGCAGTCCGTTACATTATTACAAACGCTTCCTTTAACTGCCCTGAACTCTACCTCCGGGTACCTACTTAGGGTTACATCCAGTTGTCCCCTTTGCATCTGGAGAGTGGGCACCCAGCTTGGACAGCTGCCATCCATAATGGGGGTGTCAGTGCCCCTGGGATTTCTTCTCCACCTCCCACTCGGCTCCTCCATACCTCAGACTCCTCTCCTACAGTGATTCTGTCCTCTACCCTCCTCAGTCACCTATCCCCATGTCTACTCCCTTGGCCTGGTCATCATCAGTCTGTCCTACTCTGTGATCCCCCCATCCTTCCGGCCCACTTCCTGTGATCCCCTTCCCCCAGCAGTCCTACCCCCACTGATGCTAGGTTTGAACCCCTTTCTCAGCATCCCCCTCCTCTCTTCACTTCCCTCTCTACCCGGCTCAAGATTCACTCCCTTGCAGAAACCCTCAGCTCGCCAGCCCCTTTCCCTCCATCAGGCAAGCCTCCGCCCTCCCCTTATCGCGTGCCTGCATCTGAGCCACTGACCTCCAGTGGGCACTTACTGCAGCCACGCCATTTCCTCTGTCCAGCCAACTGCTCTACCCTCATCTCACCATTCTCACGTCATCATTTTCTCACCACAAACCCAGTGCCTCCAAATGGACAACCAGCCCCATGGCAGGTGCTTTGCAGGACATGGCGTTGAGCCCCTGGCTGCCTGTGCTGGGTGGGCTGCACAGTGTTAGTGTCCGGGAAGGACAGAAGGGGATGAATGGAATAGGGGTGCTGTCTTTGCCTTCTGCATCACCTTGGGATCCTCTGGCACAGGGAACAGGGAGCCCCACTACCCATATCACATGCACCCGCCCCCTCCCTGATTGACAGCCCTGATCCCCTCCCCAGGCCTTACCTGCCTACAGCAAAGACCGTCAGCCCAATGGTGAGGTTCTGCTGTATAGCCTCTTGCTGGGCCACATCTGGATCGAAAGTGCCATCCCAAACAATGGGGGCCCCCCAGGAGGTACAGGTCAGGACTTCAGGCCGGGCCCTGGCCAGAGCAGGGATGGGAGATGGGGTCCATTTGTCCACCCACTTGGTGATGCTCACTGCCATCTCCCCATGCTGGGCCCTAGGACCCCCAGGTGGGGCATACCCAGTCCCTGGCCCAGAACCAACACAAACGGAAGATCCAGAGATGTGCAACCCGCTGGGCCCTGGGGTGGAGAGCCTGGCTCTGCCGGGGTAGCGGGTAGGAGGGCAGGGACGCTGGGGCACATACTGCAGGGCACCATGGGAGATCTCAGAGCGGGAGGACTGTGTCTCCTTACCAGAGATGCAGGAGACCTGTGAAGTTGTCTCTCAGCAGGGGCATTCTGGTCAAAGGGCAGGTGCCCATGGGGATGAAGGTTTCCAGGTGCCTGTTGGGCGGGGGCAGCAATGAGGGGCACGCCAGCCGGCTCAGCAGCCCTGTCGCTCTGCTCCTTACAGGGAGGGAGGGCCACAGGACACGAGTGGGCTGGGATGGTCACCCCCGCCAGCCCTCGGGATACTTGGAAAGACCCACTTGAGTCCCGTCCCGGAGGGCCCGCCCGGAGCGCTGGGGAGAGGAGGCTGTACCTGACGGCCGGGAGCCCGTACAGGAGCAGCCCTGAGAAGCTGACTGCCAGCAGGATCAGCCACCAGAAGATCCTCTTCCAGGCCCTGGGGGTGGGGAGGGGCATCAGCAGCACACGATTTACGGGTGTGTTTATATTGATCTACACACAGATCTCTGCACACACGTATGAGAAACCATTTGTGCAACTTAATGTTTCATGTTATTATCGTTATTATTAATAATGCGAATATATTCACACGGTGAGTTCAAAGATACACGAGTATACACAGTGCAAGGTCCTTCCTGTTCCCAGACACCCAGCTCCTCTGCGTGGAGGCAGCCAGTGTCGCCAGTTTCCTGTGCGTCTTTCCAGAAAGAGGCTGCGCCCAGGCAGGCAGCGTGGTGAATACGGTAGCAGATTCTCCGTCCCGCCCCGCCCCTCCCCCTTTCTTTTTCTTTTCTTTTTTGACCCTGGAATGGTTTTCATCTCCTCCTCTTTCTTTCTCCCCACAGATGGTAGCACAATAGACAATTCTGCATCTTGCATTTCCACTGACATAATGTCTTTGAGGTTATTCCATCTCAGTACTTGAATCGCTTCCTCACCCTTCTTTCCATTGATGGGCAATAGCATAGTCTATCTGACCAGGTCCCTTCTAATGAGCATTTAGATGTATATCCTTTGCTTTTGCCAGTAGTGCTGGGGTGGGGGGCACGGCCTTGGCAGGTTTGGGGGATGCTAACATTAGGTGTGGGGTGTTTAGTCTGGGAAGGGGCTGGGACTGACCTTGGATGGGAGAGAGTCTGGGAGGGGAAGCAGGGAAGTTTGTGACTGTGGCTGGGAGGCGAGAGCTATGTGGGACTTGGGGAAGAATTGCCGGGCTGCGTGGGGGGCAGCTGTGGTCAGGGACCAGGCGTCTGTCGTGGCTCCAGTCACGGGGCTGGTTCCTCCAGCAGAACTCAGCAGCCCCGTTCCCGGCTCAGAGGAGGTGGACTCGGATTTGTCCGTGGCTGGTTGTTTTCCAGGAAGGGGGCCAAGAGTTGAGAATCTTAATAAGCTCCTTCTGGGGGTCTTGTCCAGCTCCCTGCATCTCTGATGTGTGCCCCTGTCTCTGGAGAGGCTGGACCCTATGGCGAGAAGCAGAGACACTGGGTCCACACCCTTGCGGTTCGAATCCCAGCTCCACTGCCTTTTCGCTGCCTGAGCAAGGGCAAGGCTTTGGACGTCCGCACTTTAGTCTCCTCATCTGTAAACTGGGGATAAGAATACCTGCCTTGGAGGGTTGTCATGGTTACTGAGTTATCACATGCTAAGTGAAGAGAACAAGGCTCACACATACTAGTGGCTCAGTAAGCTGTAGCTACTATTATTATTCCTGAATAATAGTGTTAGTGTACCTCCTCTGGCCCTGCTGTTCCTCCAGCCCCTCAGTGACCCTGCCTGCTCACCCCTCACCAGGACCATTCCCGCAGCAGCTCCGTGCTTCGTCACAGAACACCACCTGCCTTACCAGTTTCCACAGCACACGACCAGGTAAATCCTCAAAGAAGAAATGCATTTAGTAGTCAAACATGGAAGAATGTTCACCCTCACTCGTAATCAAAAACATACAAATTAGGACAAGGTGGTTCTAATTTGCCTATAAAATGGGCTCATTTAGAAAAGAAAGAAGCCTGCTGCCGTGGCTCGGGTTGAGCATCAGCCTGCGAACCAGGAGGTCATGGTTCGATTCCCAGTCAGGGCACATGCCCAGGTTGCGGGCTCAATCCCCAGTGTGGGGTGTGCAGGAGGCAGCCCATCAATGATTCTCTCTCATCATTGATGTTTCTATCTCTTTCTCCCTCTCCTTTCCCCTCTGAAATCAATAAAAATACATATTTTTTTAAATTAAAATAAAGAAAACTTAGCCACGCTGCGAGAACACAGTGAGATGGGCTCTCACACTTGCAGCTCTTGTGGACAGCTCCTTAGCTATGGGGATGGGCGCTTTCAGTCTTCATCCCCTTTAATCCAACAACCTCAGCTTCTGGGATTCTGTTCAGAGGAGATAATCTTCAGCATGGAATAAGTTCATGCATCAGGGTGTTCACTCGTTTCTGTTCATTCATGCATTCCACCTGTATTGATGGGCACACGCTCAGAATCAAGCACTGTGCTAGGTCAGGGTTCAGAGGGCCTGTCTTCAGGGAGTGAGTGAGGAATATGTGAGTCCCCGAGGAGAGGGAAAAGGTCAGGTGACAGCAGCAAACAGATGAACACAGCGCAGCGAAGGCTGTAATTCATATAAGATGCTACGAGGGCAGCTTGGAGAGTGGCACCTAAGCCTTGACGGGGGAAGTCAGGGCAGCTTCCTGGAGGAGGTGACCTCTGAGCTAGCACCCGAGCAGTGAGAAGGGATCCAAGAAAAGAAGATAGTAGAGCGGGAAGGGAGGTCCATGGAAAGGAGACAACAATGTGCAAAAGTGACCAAATGGTTTTCTTAAGAGACCACAGCCTCTATCAGACCGCCCTCCTGGAAGTGGGGTGGGGCCGAATCATGGCTGGGCCTCTGGTGGACTGATCTGGCATCGCTGGGACAGTGACAGAGGACGCCTGGGGCACTGGTGCCTCCTGATCTCTCCACTTGGATATCCCACAAGCATCTCAAACTTATACGACCAGAAAGGGACTCGATTTTCCTCAGAAACCTGCTCCCCACTCAGGTCTCCTCCATCCTGGGACATGGCATCATGATATACACCCCATTTCTCAAACCGAAGACCTAGGAGCCCCCCTTTATTCTTCCCATGTGTCATGGCCCACATGCAGTCACCAACAAGCCCTGTGGACTCTCCCACAAACACACCCCACTCCATCCACAGGCCTTCACCTCTTCTCATTCCACTCCAGGCTAACCTCATAGCACCCCTTTCAGCCTCCCTGCTTCTACTCTTGCCCCCCAACAATCCGTTCTCCAGAATGAACTTTCAAAAACATATTAGAACACATCTCCCCTCTTCCAGACCTTCCAACGACTTCTTACGCTCTTAGAGCAAAACCCGCCCCCCTGGGGGCTGTGTGCAGAGCTCCATGCATCTGGCTCCTGGGATCTCTCCTGTGCGCCCCTGCGTGCTCTGGCCCGCAGCCTTCTTGTTCACCTTTGCATGGCTTGCCCTTCTTGCCATTTGGAATTCAGTTAGGATTCTGCGTGCACCCTCTTTCACCCCTTGTCTTTTCTCTACCAATGACTCCGAAAACCGAGTCCAGCCCAGCTCTCACTGAGCACTGGACTCAGGCACCGTGTGTCTCCTGGACTGCGGTGTCTCCCTGGGTGTCCCACAGACACCTCCAACTCGGCTTCCCAAGCTGCATTTGCATTTCCCTGATCTCTTCTTCCTTCTGCGTTCTTCGTGACTGGTCCCCATTACCCAAGTGGGACCCTTCCCGCCACCCCTCCCCTCATAGCCATTCAGTCACCAAGTTCCACTGCATTTGCCTCCCTCGTAGAGCTCTAAGCTCCCTCTTCTCCACCCCACTGAATTCTTACCCCTCATTGTTTCTCATCAGATAGATTCCTGCAACTCCCCTCACCTGCCTCCCAGTCTCCATCCTGTGATTCCTAGACTTGCTTTGACTCTGGGTCCTCCCACCTCTGTATCTTCACCCAGATTGCTCTTTCCCCATCAACCACCACCAAGCTCCCAATCATCCCTCAATACCTAGCTTCCTCCTGGGGACGCCTTCCTTGACCTTCCCCTCAACACCTGCCCTCCCAAGAGCTCCTCCTGTGCAAACCTCTACTCTAGCACCTGCCGAACTAGACTGACTGCCCCACCAGGCCATGAGTTTCCTGTTTTATTCGACTTTGGATCCGAGAGCCTGCCTCAGAGTTGGCGGTATTAATAGTTATTTGTTCAGTAAATGAATGAGGTAATCAGTGGGTTCCTGGTCTTCATTCTCTTTCCTAAACTGATGGTTTCTCCTTTGCTCAAAACACCATTTTCTTTAGGGTCAGCTCTGCACTCTCTGAATGATCCCAGACGCTTACTGAGGCAGATACTGTGCTGACAGTTCTATGTCCCTCTCTCACGGAAGTCTGACCACAGTTGCTTGAGGAAGATACGTTGATTACCTCCACCTTGTAGACAAGGGGGCTGTGGCTCCGAAAGGTGAAATCATTTGCTCAGACTCACACAGCTAGGAGTGCTGGAGCTGAGGTTCAAACGTAGGTCTGTCTGACTCCCAAGCCAGAGCCTGGCGTTTGGGGCTTTTTATGGCTTGGCCCCAGCCCAACCCGGACGCTCGTCTTCCAAACGTCCCTGCTACCATTTCCCAAGTCAGTGTCTCTCCTACAAAAAGCCTTTCTCCCTCCTCACTCTCCAGCTCCACGCTGAGCTCCTGGAGGGCTGGCTGCACCAGGGCCTTTCCGGCTCCCGGAAGCAGGGCTGCCCAGGTACACGACAGGAGGTACCCTCTGTGGTGCCGGGCAGGAAGAGGCTGGCAGGGACCTTTGCTCTCACTGCTGTCCCGATGCTTATCTGGGGCACTGGGCCTCCACCAGGCAGCCAGGCAGAGCTGCGCCAGGTGGGTGCAAACTGTCAGGTCTGGGAGGGTGCTGAGACCCAGGCCTGCGGCAGGCACCCTCCAGTTCCTGCCGCCTTGCCGTGCCCCAGCCTGGGAGCCCTGAGTCCATCTGGCCGCTGCCTGGCCTATTCCTCCACATTCCCTTCTCAGATATTTCCAAAAGGACCCCCTTCACCCCTCTTCTATCTGCAGAAGGTGGTCCCTCAAGCCCACCCCATGTCCTGTTCCCTGTACCTTCCCTGTAGGGGTTAAAGATCAGTCATTAGTTCTTAAGCAGGTAGAAGCTTCCAGTCCTGGACAGTCACTGCCGTGGGAACGTGGAGGCCTCTGTTACAGTGGGGGTGCAGCCCCCAGGCCTGCCTTCTCTGGCTCACCAAGGGGCTCAGAGTTAGGGAAGCAAGAGGACTTACCCAGCTCCTCACAGGCTGCGAGATCTCCCAGATCGTCCCCTGCCGTCTCTATCTACCCCGTGGGCCGTGTTCCCTCTGAGTCACCTTCTCCCAGGACTGTCTTGGTGCCTCCTTGGCTGTTCTAGACTCCTCTCAGGTCAGCCGTCCCCCCCAGCTTCCCCCACGCTGGGGGTGTCCCCACTCACCTGAGTCCCTCTTTGAGAGCCATGTTGAGAAGCTGGTGGGACAGCCTTCCAAGAACTCTCTCAGCTCAGCTGGGAAGCAAATGACCCTGTGTCTGGAACAAAGCAGTTACAGGCCATCTGGAACCACACCCACAGGAGCAGGCAGGGACGAACGCCCCGGCCTGGTGTGGGACTTAGGAGTGGCACCTGCTGCAGGAGGCTGGCCCCAGGCTGGGGTGGGGGCTGGGAACCCCCTTGGGGCCAATCACCTGGAAAAGAGTGGACCTGAATAAGGCCAGCTCTGATTGGCCAGAGGCTCTGCACTACTTTGTACTGACTCACTTTTCCTCTCTACGCTCCTAGTGCCCTTTCCAGTGTCTTCTGGTCTCATCAGAGAAAGGCTTCAGCCAAAGCCTCAGGGCACTTGTCTCCCGATTGCGGATTGCGATCCTGGACCGGTTACCCAGGAGTCCTTCACCTCCTCAGTCAAATGGGTAAGTCACCAGGACAGTGGAAGAGCCACTCCAGAGAGCGGATACGGGATTTCTGGAGAGTTTGCACTGGGCAGCGTTTTTTGAGATGCAGGTTGTGATCCATCCGAGAGCCATGAAATCAATTTCATGGATCGTGACCAAGACTTAAAAAGTGTGACCAGGAAGAGAATGGAAAAGAAAACACCAGAATGCATGGTACATAAAGGTAGGTGTTGTTTTGTGAAAGTTTTGTTTCCATTATATATATTTAAGTATGTACATGAATGTTGGAAACACTTTTTAAACTCTGGACCATAATCAAAGGTTGGGAAAATTTTGTGTAAAGTGTAAACAGGGACAAAAATATAGTGAAGGCTGCACCCTTCAAACGGCGATGGGGTGGGGCCTTCCACCCAAAGCAAAGCAGCAGTGCTCAGGCCGCTCCTGGTACTGCTCGCCTGCTCCTTCCGGGCGGGCCTGGTTCCTCTTGTGAAGCGGCAGCTGGAGACTCCGGCGCTCGCCATGGTTGACACAAAGCCCAAGGAAGGAGTCAAGACTGAGAACACGATCATACGAATTTGAAGGTGGCGGGGCAGGGTGGTTCTGGGGTGCAGTTTAAGATTAAGAGGCACACACTGCTTAGTAAACTAAGGAAAGCCTATTGTGAATGACAGGGTTTGTCAATGAGGCAGATCAGATTCCGATTTGACGGACAGCCAGCCAATCAATGAAACAGACACACCTGCACAGTTGGAAATGGAGGAGGAAGATACAGTTGATGTGTTCCAGCAGCAGTCAGGTGTCTGCTAAAAAGGGAACCTGCTATTTACTCCAGAACTCTTCCTCCAGACCAAGAAGACATTCTCAATTAGAAAACTGCAATTTGGTTTCAACACATCTGACTGCCACAGTATAGTTTTCTCTATTCTTTCATTTCCCCCTTCCCCATTCCTTTATTGTACATAAAGTAACTGATGTATGTGCACCAGCATTTGCATTTTTTTAAACTAAATGGCCAATGGTTATGTTTTGATCTACATCAAATGGAGATGGGATGGGGAAAATACTGGATCTGTGAAAACACCCCCTTTCTCCATTAGTGGCATGCTCATCCAGCTCTTATCTTTATATTCCGGTAAGTTATTTTACTCTCACTGTTAAACAAAAAAGAACAACATAAAAATTCGTGCATACCTTGTTGGATTGAAGAATTTTAATGTTTTTCATTTATCATTGTAAAACCAAGGACAATTTTATAACTTTTTTGTACATAGCTGTTACATGTAGGGCAATCTGTTTTTAAGGAGGGATAAATTACTCTAAAAAAATGAATCCTAGTTTTCCCTTAAGTGTCTTGTTGTTTAAATAAACTTGTTTAAAAAGAAAACACACAAAAAACAAAAAAACAGGAAACAGTGCCCATATTTACCTAAGTCAGCTCCCTCAAATTCACCAAGCCCTCTTGGGAATTTAGGTTTCCTTCTCCACCATGCACACCAAAACAAACTCAGGTGTGGCCTGGCTTTCACTATCTGCCAGGAAGGGGAATGTCGAGGTCCAGAGTGCAGACTTGCCCAGAGCCACCCAGGCCACAGCGTACCTGCCCACTTCCTGCAGCGGGAGGGGCAGGGCAGTGGGCGACCCGGGTGCCCTCTCCACTAGGTGCCCTCCCCAAGGTCCTTTATGCTCTCCCTCTTCCCCCTCAGCTCAGGGGCTATGCTAGCCCCTGGTCCTGCGAGCCATTCCCTATCTCCTGGAACAACCAGACTTTCCAGTCCTGGCTCCACCCTCTGGGCTATCAACTGTCGATTCGGTGCCAGACCACCACAATAAAGCGAATGTTGAAATAAAGTGAGCCATGGGAAGTTTTTGGTTTCCTAGTACATAGAAAAGCCATGTTTGCACTATACTGTAGCCTTTTATTATTTTTTAAATATATTCTTTATTGATTTCAGAGAGAAAGGGAGAGGGAAAAATAGAAACATCAGTGATGAGAGGGAATCATTGATTGGGTGACTCCTGCACGCCCCCTACTGGGGATGGAGCCTGAAACCCCAGCATGTGTCCTGACCGGGAATCAATCCATGTCCTTCTGCTTCATGAGTCGAAGCTCACCCACTGAGCCACACCGGCCAGGCTACGGTAGCCTTTTAAGTAATAATAGCATTATGTCTAAAATAATGCACATAACTTAGTTTACAAAGACTTTATTGCTAAAAATGCTAGCCATCATCTGAGCCTTCAGCAAGCTGTAATCTTGTTGCTGGTGGAGGGTCTTGCCTCGATGTTGATGGTTGCTGACTGATCGGGGTGGTGGTTGCTGAAGGTTGGGGCGACTGGGGAATTTCTTAAAATAAGACAATGAAGTTTGCCCTAGTTGACTCTTCCCTTCACAAACAATTTCTCTGTAGCATGTGATGCTGTTGGTAGCATTTTACCACAGAACTTAGAACTGGAAATCTCAGATCCTCTCAACCCCTGCTGCTGCTGTCAATCAGTTCATGTGCTAATCTCATTCCAACAGTCTTCCCAGCATCTTCCCATCAGCAGACACAGAGACTCAGAGACCAGATGCTGTTGGAAAGCGCTTGCTCAAGGCAAGGTTGCCAGAATCCTTTAATTTGTTGAAAAAAAAAATGCAGTATTTGTGAACTGCAATAAAGCGCAAAAATGCAAGGTAAGCCTGTAATCTGCTTTTCCTCCTCTCCGGGTAGTACATTTATTTATTTAAAATATATTTTTATAGATTTCAGAGAGGAAGGGAGAGGGAGAGAGAGAAACATCACTGATGAGAGAGAATCATGGATCAGCCTCCTGCACGCCCCCTACTGGGGATCGAGCCCGCAACCTGGGATTGTGCCCTTGACTGGAATGGAACCTGGGACCCTTTAGTCCGCAGGCCAACACTCTATCCATTGAGCCAAACCGGCTAGGACAGTACATATATTTTAAAAATTGGTTTTAGAGAGCGAGAGAAACATCGATTTGTTGTCCCATTTATTTTTGCATTCATTGGTTGCTGCTTGTAGGTGCCCTGACTGGGGATGGAACCCATTAGTGCAGTGATTCTCAACCTTCTGGCCCTTTAAATATAGTTCCTCATGTTGTGACCCAACCATAAAATTATTTTCGTTGCTACTTCATAACTGTAATGTTGCTACTGTTAGGAATCATAATGTAAATATCTGATATGCAGAATGGTCTTAGGCGACCCCTGTGAAAGGGTCGTTCGACCGCCAAAGGGGTCGCGACCCACAGGTTGAGAATCACTGCATTAGTGTATCAGTATCAGGACGATGCTCTAACCAACTGAGCTACCAGCCAGGGTAGGAGTAGTACATTTTAACAGGCTTTCCAGAGAGGTGCTATCAAGATGAGGGTATTGGCTCTGTGTGGGCTTGACCTTCCAGGGCCCCACCCTTAGATTCTGATTCAGTAGGTTGGGCCCTCGGCCTAAATCCTATGTTTTAAACAAGTGGAAACACTGAAGGAAAAACCTAGAGAAGGTCAGGAGCAGGCCAGGTGCCCTCCTCCCTTCCCCTGAGATAGGTGCAGCGAGATGTAAGCTCCGTGCCAGCAGGCACAGCAGTGTCCTGCTCCCCACCAAGGCCTCGTTGCCAGCACAAGGCCTGGCTCAGAGGCACAGGTCAACACAGCCCATCCCACCACCCCCTCACATCCTGCTGGTCTGCACTCCCACCTTCATGCCCCTGCCTTCGGGTGAGCTGCCTGGGCCTGGAATGAGCTTTCTCTTTCATTCGAGGCTTAGGTGTTACTTCCTGGGGGACGATGGCTTTCTAATAATTTGCTATTCCAGCATCCAACACATGCTCAGAACACACTGAGTGAACCAGAGCCATTCCAAGGCTCTTCTGGACACTGAGCAGCGACCACTAAAGGTGTCTGCTAGAGGATGGGAGTCAGGGTTCTGCCTCAGGTGTCCCAGATACCCCCACTGGGGACTTGTCTCCCCAATGGGAATGGTGGGGACGGGGCTCAGAGCTGAAGGGACTCTGGACCCTCCACTTCAAGGGACACCATGTGAGGAGATGGGGAATCTGCCACCCCTGTGAGGACTGGGGCTGAGGGTGCCCTCAGTGGCCCAGCCCAGCGAAGTGCAGAGGAGATGCTATCCCAACCAGGGACCCACCCGGCTCCTAGGGGTGAACTGGCACCACTGAAGACCTATACCTGTAGGGACAGGCATCCCCAGGAAAGAAAGGCATAGAAACAGATTTTACAGATTTATTTTTAAAAAACAAAAACAAATGGTTAAAAAAGTCCTTCATTTCCAACCCTGCCAGGGGTGTGAGTGGGGAACAGAACAAGCTGAGGAAGGCAGCCACCTCTTCCGGGGAGAGGCCCCCTGCCCCCGCGGAGCTGCCGAGGACAGGGCACGGGGGAGGCAGACCTCGCCCCTCCTGCCCTGCCTCCTCCGCAGGCAGCTGATTGCTGCGAGCAGGTTCGCAAGGCCAAGTGTGGGAGCCGGAGGCCAGAGGCTGCCTTCTCCACATCAGTGGTCACTCAGGCTCTTCTCTCCCTCAGAGGTGGTCTGGGCCTCACCACTGGGATCCCCAGGCAGCGGGCAGGAGGCTCAGCCTGGCCCAGCCCGCCCACCAGCACTGTGGCCGGCAGCTTCTTTAATGTTTGTGACAGCAGGGCAGTCGGGGGGACTTCACAGTGTGGGGAAGGGACTTTAGAGGCTTCGTGGCCAGTCTGGAG